GTAGATAAGCCAGGAGACCAGTGTAACTAGCGAGCCTGCTGACAAAGCCCGAGGGACACAGACAGCTGCCACGTCAGTTTTTCCTGACTCCACTTGGTGCCTGTGGGGAGCTGGACCCCACCTGACACTTTTTCTGAGCCAAGGTACACTCGGAGACGTTGTTGGAGTTTTCCCTAAATTTGGAGGTGCAGAGCATGCCGCTGGGGTTCCTGCACAGTCACTGATGGGGACAATGTGACTCCCAAGGGAGATCTTGGCCAAGGAAGACAGTGATCCTGATTAGACAACCAGGGTAGGGCTCGGTGAGGTGGCCTAGCAGCTAAAGTCCTCACCTTGCACATGCCAGCATTCCATATGGGCGCTGGTTCTAATCCTGGCAGCTCCACTTTCCATCCAGCTCCCTGCTTGTGGCCTGGGAAAGCAGTTGAGAACGGCCCAAAGCCTTGGGATCCTGCACCTGCATGGGAGACCTGGAGGAAGTTCCTGGCTCCTGGCTCCTGGCTCCTGGCTCTGGATCAGCGTAGCACCAGCTGTTGCAGGTCGCTTGGGGAGTGAATCATCGGATGCAAGATCTTCCTCCCTGTCTCTCATCCTCTCTGCATAGCTGACTTTGCAATAAAAAAATACATAAATCTTAAAAAAAAAAAAAAGACAAAGACAACCAGGGTATGGCGTGTGGGTGATTGCATCAACTGGGGCAAATTCTGCTCACCGAGTCCCTGATTGACAGGAGTGGATTGAGTCAGGATCAATGCCAGCGGCTTGGGATTGGAGGAGGAGATCAGGATAGACCCTTTCTGCCCTGTGTCCCTGTCTTTTTTGTCTCTGGAGAGAAAAGAGAGCAGATAGTGAAGGAATGGGACGCATACTCGCATTTGCCAAGGTCGGCGCTGAGCTGAGCTGCTGTGTTATCACTGCTGCCTGGCCAGAAACAGCCAAAGTAGAAAGTGGAAGACTGAACAAAGGAAAGTATTGAAAATGTGCTGGCTGGAAACCTTGGCTCATGCTGAACAAACAGGCAGGCTGAAAAATCCCATCCAATTACCAGACTGCTCCCTGTTGTCATTGGTTACACTTCTGTGCCGGGGAAACTTTGGAAAGCCGAGGGAGGGAGCAGCTTGTGATATAATTAGAAGGCCCTCCCCGACAGATTCTAGCCATGACTTTCACTTCACTAACCGGCCCCAGTCCTGGCTCCTAGAAGCTGGCTGGAAGGTTTACAGATGTCTCTCCCCTCTGTTGCAACAGCCGTGTGTTGACACAGTGTCCCAGACAGAACCAGGAGACTGGCAGGGAAATGGCCGAGCTGTGTGAAGAGCCAGGGGACCTGAGGACAGCTGTTCTTTTGTCCTATATCAGCCGTTCTACCTCTTCTGGCCTTTGCTTCTGACTCTACGAAATTAAAAGCGTTCTTGAAGAGAATGAACCATAAGGAGTAAAGGTTTACATTTCATATATATATATATATACACATATATGATTTATTTATTTTTATTGAAAAGTCAGATATACAGAGAGGAGGAAAGACAAAGAGGAAGATCTTTCATCTGATGATTCACTTCCCAAGCGGCCACAATGGCCAATGCTGCACTAGTTCAAAGCCAGGAGCCAGGAACGTCTTCTGGCTCTCCCATGTAGGTGCAGGGTCCCAAGGTTTTGGGCCATCCTTGACTGCTTTCCTAGGCCACAAGCAGGGAACTGGATGGGCAGTGGAGCTACCAGGATTAGAACTGGTGCCCACATGGGAGGCTGGCATGTACAAGGTAAGGACTTTAGCTGCTAGGCTACAGTGCCAGGCCCTAGAAGTATATATGTATTTTTAGGAAGAATAATTCACTGTGGGAAGGGCTGTGGCTATCCCAACGAGCCTCCGAACCTCTGTGTCAATGCCCCACCCCAGACACGGTCTTCTGTCTTTCCCCCCAGATGTATTTGGAACTTTGGGTTTTCTGTTACTGGTCCCCCTTCCCCATGTAAATGGAATTATGTTCTTGGCTATCTACTGGAAGGGACTTTTGTTAGCTATGATTTCCAGTCAATTTTTTTTTTCCTCAACAAAATCACCATAAGACAGTTTGGCCGGAGGGTTTTCTGTTCCCCAGAGGCTCTTGAAGAGCTCCTGGATATGAACCAGTGTCCCTTTCAGCTGGCAGATGCAGGCCCTCAAGGCACCTGTCCTGGTTTAGCAGTTACTACAGAGAAAAATCAACGCCTACTAATAATTCAGCAGCTGAAGCCGTGGCGATCAGAAAGCAAGTCAACACATTTTGTCAGGGTTGTTTGAAAAGCAGCCAGTCAGCCATGAGGGCTGGAACTTCCACTGTCCACTCGGGTCTTCCCATCTTCTCAGAACGCAGGTGGGAACAAAAAAATCATTATCAGCCCAAGTGAGAGGAGCTCACTGGCATTGCATGGTGTAAAAACGCGTTGATCAATCATGCTTTGAAACTTGCAAAGCGAAGAGGAGGCAATGTTATGATACAGGATATGAATACACAGTGACACAAAAGGCATGGCAAAACCAACGTGCTGTGGCAGCTTTCCTTGCCAACCCTTTGGGAAAACAGTCCAGCAGTTCCTGAAGGGGTGAAATAGTCGCTGTTTGCTCCAGCAGTTCTACTCCTGGGGATATACCAAGAGACATGGAAGCAGACATCCATGGAAAAACTAGTAAGCAAATGTTCCCAACAGAATTATTCATAATAACCCCTAAGGGGAAGCAACCCAAATAGCCATCAGTTGATGAGTGAATAAACAAAATATGGCAGATCCAAAGAAAGAAGTGAAGACCCAGTATATATTGCAATGTCATAGGCTTTGCAAACGTTATGGGAAATCAAAAAAGCCAGTCATGAAAGGCCAGGCGTTCTGCACTTCCAGCCACATGAAACGTCCAGGACAGGTAAGCTTGTGTGAGAGCAGGCCGACTAACGGTGGCCTAGGGCGGGATGAGTGGGCAGTGAAGTGGGAGTGACTTGTAGTGGTTTTCTTTCTGAGGTGACACAAAATGTTATTTAACATGATTCATGGTACTCGTTGTGCAATTTTCTGAGGATATTCAAAACCGTTGTGTGTTTTTATTTATTCATTCATTTTTATTTTGAGAGATACCCTAGAAAACCCATCTGTTGGTTCATTCCCCAAATTTCCATCTCTAAGCCACAGGGTCAGGAACTCGATGCAGATTTCCCAGGGGAGAAGCAGCAACCCAGTTCCTCCCGCTAGCGTTGCTGCCCCCCATGTCTGTGGTAGAGGGAAGGTGGAGCACACGCTGGGCCTGGAGTTTGAACCCAGGCCTTGGATGTGAGTAGTGGGCATTTTGACTAATGTCTTACTGGGCTTGCACCTGCATGGATTTTTTTTTTTTTAAAGCCAAAGTTGCTATAAACACTGTTAAACTAACACAGTGATATTTTCCTAAATATATATATATATATATTTTACTGTGGTGTCTCCATATTTAGAAGCAAACCCTACTCCATGGGAGGACTTTTTTTTTAAAAAAAAATATTTACTTATTTGAAAAGGCAGAGTGTTAGAGTGGGAGAAAAGAGAAAAATCTTCCATCTCCCAGTTTACTCCCCAAATAAGCATGATAGCCAGGGCTGGGGAAGCCGGATGCCAGGCAGGAACTCCACCCAGGATGGCAGGGCCCAAGCACTTGGGCCATCTTCCACTGCCTTCCCAGAAGTGTGAGTGGGGAGCTAGTTGGAAAGCAGAATAACTGGAACTTGAACCAGCACCCTGAGAAGGGATGCTGGGGACATAAGCTGTAGCTTTAACTTGCTGCACCACAAAACTGGCCCCCTCTCTTATAACGGCCTTCAGCTAGAATGAATCACAGCTTCCCTTGTCTGAATTCAAACTCCTGTATCTGGTGTTTGAAGGGTAGCATCAATGAAGTGCACTGAGAAGAGGGGTGGAAGGTCAGGTATGAACTCGGGATCCTGAAGCTGGCTCTGTGACTTTGGGCAAGCTCCTAGCCCCTCTGTGCTTGTTCATGTATATTAATGAGGATGAGTTATAGTATGCACCTCCCAGAGACGTTGGGCAAATCAAGTGAGCGAATTGTAGAAATAAAGCACATGGGACAGAGCCTGGCATTTGGCGAACATGCAGTAGCTCTGTTAGTATGTGTCCTTATCAACTTCACAGGTTGAATATGATGGGAGCACTGTTTACCTTCTGCCAGACTCTTACTGAGAACTTGGACTTGGTCCTTGAGAATAAATGAATCATCACGAATGGAGCTGTGTCTAAGCTGTGGGGCCCAATTCAAACAGATCAGATCATTTCCTTTCTCCCTGGCTGGGACCCATGCAGTTTCTGGGAGATTTAGTCTCCACTGCTAAAACACCCAGACCCAGCAGGAGACCTCAACCTTCCCTAAATATATCCATTCCTGAGTTCTGGAGTGAATTAGCAGAGCTCAGCCTCGGGTGATCCAGGGTTATGGTGCGCACACGAGGCCCTCAGTGCGAGAAGCCTGGATTTAGGATGCTGTGACCCACATTGCAACCTGTACCATTTCCCCGAGCCTTCCTCGGCGCTGTGACCTGGCCTGTGGAGACTATAACTAGGAACCTTGCTGACACCAGGCTCGTGGTCCCAGCGTCTGCCCACCTTCATTCTGCCGCTACCACTTGCATGCCCCGACAGCTTGCTTTCACACTGACCTTGCTGCTTGTCTGTCCTCCAGTGGCAATCATTCTAGAGAACGCCTCCGGCTGACCTGTGGCCTGGTAGGTAATGGCCAGTCCTGGGCAGTACTGGCTATGCTAATGGACTCTACCTGTGTCCTATGGGTGGATCGTAAACCTTGCTTCTAGGACTCCTGCTGGACTCAGGATGGACCATTTTCCTTTTCCAGAGGGAAGACGTAGGCACAGAGAAACCAAATTATTTGTTTAGGGAAACCAAGAAAGAGCTGGAAAATTGAGCTGGGCCAGAATTAGACCCTGTGGATCACAATGCGCCTAGGACACAGTCATCAGCCAGACTTCATTGTTTAAATAAAACATTGTTTAATAAAATACTGCATACACATATTTTTCTAAGATGTTCAAAGCAGGATGGTTGACGTGGATGACAATACATGGTATTCTGTATAATTGGTAGCAAAAACAAGGCGTTTTAAATAAGTAGCCTCAGCTCAGATTGGAAAGCAGACCAGGGAGAGTTCAGCGTTTCCTCTACAGATGTGCTCTTGGTTGTCTTGGGATGGAGAAAGGAGTCATTCTACCCTCCAGGAATCATAAGTAACATTGGAGTGACCTTCTGGAGAGAGGGAGCCCGCCTTCCTCCTTGCCATCTTGCCCGAGTTCCGAGCTTGTAACTGAAGCCTACAGAAGCACCATGGTCACTTTCTGGGCGTGTGGGGACGCAGCAGAGCAGCGGGGCAGTCCCTGGGACACGCTGGGAGACAGCATAGCTGGGCTGACAGAGAGGAAGATGGGAGGAAGAGAAAAGCTGACTGTGCCTCCCTGACCTGGTCCAGCGCAATTACTGAGGTCACCAGAGACACTCAGGATCTAAAGACAACATGGTGGCGTTTTGTCTAGAGCAGTAAATTGCCAGAGACAGAGTTAGCCCACTCCCCAGCGACTCCTCCCCTTTCAGGTCGGTCTGCCCTTCCAGACACTTCCTCCCCTAAAAACTAGAGGCAGTTTGAGCCACATTGTTTGTCATATAATTTGCATAATATATAAGATCCTGACAACTCTTCTTCTATCCTGCTATCTTTTCCTATCAAATTTGCTCTCTCTTTGACTTGATCAGGATGAGCAAGGGTAGAAAAATCTCTGCCGGGATGTCCAGCCAAGATGTGTGAGCATCCCCGCCTGGAAGCGTCTTACTGTCCTGCGTCTCTGTCGGAAGAACCATAAGGAAGTAGGTCTCGGGGAGAAATCCAGACTGACCCAACTTCTGGTTGTCAAGGCATTCTCAGATAACCTCATGAGCTTTGCCAAAAGCCTCATCCCCCAGATGAGCAGCATGGCAAAAGAAGGGAGGGCACTGGAGCTAACTTTGAACCCCTCTGGCCTCCAGGTGGGCTGGCAGAAGACCTCGATGCCCCCTCAGGCTGCGACAGTCACAGGCTTTATGTACTCTGCACCTCTCACAAAGACTTCTTGTGTGTCTGGCCCAGGGCCCGGGCGAGGCAGTAGGGGATGAGGCTGACGGAGGCCAAGGGCACGACGGCACTCTTGCAGAAGGACAGAGCATAGAAGATCAGCTCCACTTGGGAAGGGGGCTTCAGAGAGTCGAACAGGTGCAGCAGGACGAGAGAGGTCACGATGCAGCTGAGGCGGAAGGGCAGCCGCTTGCTGAGTTTGCCCTTGCAGCTCTCCCTGTACATGCGTGAGTTGAGAGCCAGCCCCAGGCCAAAGAGGGTGCCCAGGTTCTTGAGCAGGCTGGCGAAGGGTGTGGTATCGATATGCACCCACTCGGGCCGTTCACACCAGCGCTTGGCCTTCTCCAGGGTCCATAGCAGGTCCACGCCCAGCCCCTTTAGCAGCAGGTAAAAACCGACGGCGAAGCTGAACAGGAAGCAGGTGATGAGAAAATATTTCTTGAGGCTGGCATTGTAGATGCTCTGGATGTGGCGGAACGTTTCTGCCACGGCGATGCCTGAGCGGGAGGAAGCGTGACCATGAGAAGGGGCGGTTGTTTTGTGCCTTACCTGTCCTGGATCTGGAACAACGGGCCACTGGGCAGGCTGGCCTGCCACTGTGCCAACTAAATCACCACATACTGCCAGGAAGCCTGGCTTGTTCCCAGGTGTGTCTCCAGCATAAACTTCCGAACAGGAGAGTCCCACTGTATGCAGGCTTCCTGCCAGGGGACCCGCTGTCTCTGCTTGAAGACCCTTAGGAGCAGACAGCTCATTCCCACTAGCCGCTTTACAGCTCTGGATGGATTTGACTTCTAGAAAGTTCTTCCTTCCTTATGCTGACTTCCCTAATGTCACCTTTCGGGCTCTGTTCTCTCTGTGCCAGTAGGAAGCTGTGAATCTAGCTCCTCTGTCACACAGTTGAGAATGGTCTCCACCCTAGATATCCCCAGGTTTTTCACTTGATGTGGCAGGAGGTGCTAACTGCTGTGTTACTCCTGGTCGCCAGGAGACCCTTGGTTGCCTTGCTCTCAACAGTATTCTTTGACCGTTCTTCATTTCCTGGGGGAGGGATGGGGAGCCCACCATTTCTCTTAAGCTCCTGCTTCCCAGTGCCTCCCCACAAGATCAACATGTTTTTCTTATACTTCACCTTAATCTTTCCTCTAAGAAAACACAGAGACACACAACTCTCTAAGATCAACTGCTGGACTTGCAAATGGGAATGTATTTAAACCAAGACCTTCTTTAGGGCACTGTTTTAACTTGCTAAATGTGGTAGATACTCTGAGAACTAAATCAGGAACTGCCTATATATTCCAGACCGGGAAAAAAATTCAAGAATTTCAATTGGGTGACTTGATTAGATGCCTTGCAGTTTTTCTGGACCACATTTAATCAGCAGATCTGGGGCACACATGTAGAAATGAATCTCTCCAAATCTTTCACTGAAATGGCCACAGCCTGCATCTGTGACAACACACACAGCATGGCTGGAATTCCGGAGCTTTGTCCGGATTAGGAACTAATCAGATTGGAGGGGAAGGAGAGGGAGAGTTGGAACAGCTGATACCTGACAAGACTCCGGCCACAACCTGGTGGGGAAAGTGAGCAGCGAGGTAGATCCGCGACAGACAGACATTCAGCTGCACAGCCCAGAAGGCCAGCCACAGCACGATGCTCAGCAACCTGCAACGGAAGAGCCCGTTGTCATGGAGCCCGGGGGGTGGGTGTGGAGGGGGCTTCCAAAACAGAACAATCAGGACAGGGATGGTGGAGTCTTACAACTTTGGATGCCATCCATACTGGGGTCCCTGCTCCAGAGCTTTGAGATGCCTGGGACTGGTAGCAAGTCCTCCCAATGATAACTGAGAATGCGTACAACAGCTGCATACCCACTCTGCAGTGGGAAGGGCTCAGGTGTTTGTTTACTGTGACCTACACAGGTACCCACCTCCAGAAGTTCCTGTTTCTGAAGCCCTGTGGCCCCCTGGCTGTCTGCTCCTTAGAAGCCCCGTCAAGGCCCTCAGCTCCCTGTCTGTGAAACAACAGGTTGCACAACTATTCCAGGTCTCATGAGCACCTCAGCAGAAGGGTCGCAGCTTTTATTAGGGCCAGCTCATGGTAGGGGCTGGGTTGCAATGCAAGGTAGAGAAAGTGGTGTGCTAGCTGCAGAGAGAACCTCCGTCGGCTCCCCATGGCTCACCCACACCCCAGAGCGAGTTCTTACCGAAACTTGTAGGTCAGCTTTTTCTTCCCCCGAAAGATGGAGAGGGTGGATGTGACCATTACGTAGTACACACCTGCTGCACCCATGGCATGGCCAGAGGGACTCCCTGCGGAGTAGAAAAGAGATGAATGTATTCAAGACAGGAAGATCTCCGCTTGGGGACCAGTGTTTGGTCTGGTGGTTAAGATGTCCACATCTCACGTCACAGTGCCTGGGTCCAAGGCTTGGCTCCAGATGATTCCAGCTTCCTGCTTACGCACACCCCGGCAACCATCCTGGCTTAAATATTTGGGCCCTTGTCACCATGTGGAAGGCTTGGGTTGGCTTCAGAGCTCTTTGCTAGTCCTGACTGTTACAGGCATTTGGGGGAATAAACCAACAAATGGGACCTTCTCTCTCTCTCTCTGCCTCTCAGATAAATAAATGAAAACAAAAGAAAACAACAACAAAAACAGTGCATGTCAAAATTAAAAAAAAACCCACATTTTTTTCCTATAACAAGATTTCCACTTGGAAGAATGCCAAGAGGCACCATGTATCCAGTCTTCCACCCCTATGTCTATTCTATCATTCATTCATTTTCTTCTTCCTCTTCTTCTTTTTTAGAGAAAGAAAGAGCACAATGGCACAGACCCACTCATTTGAGCCATCACCGTTGCTTACCAAAGGGGCTAGGGACACTATAGGTGAAGCTCTTTGCATATGCAATTTCAGCTCTGAGCAGCCCTAGGCCTAACTCAGGACTTTGGTGTACTGAGATGTCCTTGCATTTCAATCTGAGCTGCACAATGGACAAGGACCTTTGGGTCTGTCTTGTTCACTGACTAAGGTGGGCACTGAGGGGAACGAGGGTCTGCAGGGGGAATAGCTCAGGGCTGCTCTCTTGTTGCTCTGTGTGTATGTGTGTGTGGTAATGGTGCTGGTAATAGAAAAATCAAACCCATCATTTGACTTAGTTCAATCTCTGGCTGTGACTAAGAAAATGCAGGCTTGGGAATCAGACGGTCAACTTGGAAACCCTTATGTCCTGGGCCAGGCTGCTGGAAAGGGCAGCCAAGGACCCTGATTCTTCTGTTTTCTTGCTTTGGACAGAGGGCCATGGGACAGTCCTCTAAGCCCTTTGCCAGGATGGAGGGAGCAGGAGGTGCAGGGGCCTCCCTGGATCAGCAATTAGGGTTCTAGGAACACGAGGCTGATTTGCAGGAAGGCTTGGTCGAGTTACACCGAAGGAAGCCCATGTCCCTGCAAAATCGACTTCCTCCACAATGGATGCTGCTATGAGGTGCCCGCGGTCAGCCAGGCCCCACCCAGCTTCTGGCTCTCCGGGGCTGCAGTCTCACCTGGGCCAGTCTCGCAGGTGACAGGGAACTGCTTTATCAGCGGCACCGAGGTGTTGCTGTAGTAGTCGGTGTCCAGGACCCACCAGTATGGCCGCTGGCCAAACAGAATCCTGCGGAGGAGAACCGGGGTTGGCGTCACTGATTGAAGGTTTTAATGCGAGGTCTGAGTCTTTAAGAGGTTGTTATCTTGAGAATACCTCTGAAGGTGTCTCAGAAATCTCATGGATCAGAACATTCGGTCTTGTGCTTAAGACATCCACATACCACATTGAAGTAGCTGTGTTTGTTTTTTTTTTTTAAGATTTATTTGTTTTATTGGAAAGTCAGATCTACAGAGAGAAGGAGAGACAGAAAGACCTCCCATCCACTGGTTTACTCCCAAAGTAGCTGCAATGGCCAGAGTTGAGCCCATCAGAAGCCAGGAGCCAGGAGTTTCTTCAGGGTATCCTATGTGGGTACAGGGTCCCAAGGCCTTGGGTCATCTTCTACTGCTTTCCCAGATCATAAGCAGATAGCTGATGACAAGTGGAGCAACCGGGACATGAACTGGCTAGTCCCCTGTGGAATGCTGGTTGTCAGACCCTGATTTCTGACTTTTCAAGAGTTTATTTTTGTTTTTCTGAAAGGCAGAATGAATGAGAAGATAGACATTGATCTTGCGTCTGCTGGTTCACTCTCCAATTTTTCACAACAACTAGGGCTTAGGCCAAACAGAGGTCCAGAGCCAGGGACTCTGCTAGAGTATTAGGGACCCAAATACTTGAGCCACCATCACCTGCTGCTTCCTCAGTACTTCAGCAGGAAGCTGCATCAGAACTGGAGGCAGACCCTGAGCCCACGTGCTTTGATATAGGATGTGGGGGTTCCAAGTGGACGCTAAAATAAAGTTGGCTTTTAATTTCAGTTTCCATGAACTTAACAGAAATCTGTTTATTTATTTATGCTTCACTTCAATTAAAAGGCAGAGAGACACAGGAAGAGAAAGATTGTCCACTTACTGGTTTATACCCCATTTTGGGTCAGTCAAAGTCAGGAGTCTGGAACTTAAGATGGGGCTCAGGTGGAGGGGAGGGAATGCCTGGGACCCAAATAACAGCTGTCAGCTGCTGCCTCCAAAGGCGCGTATTAGCAAGAAACGAAAGTGGAGGTAGAAGAGCCAGGACTTGGACCAGCGCTTCCGACATGGGCTGTGAGCATCTCACGGACTGCTTTCGCTGCTGCCCAACGCCTGCCCCTTTCTGCCTTTTTGAAGTATGCCTACATGTTTCCTTGCAGAAAGGGGCAACAGGTGGCTGTGGAGGGGCAGGAGAGAGAAATCACACGGCACAGCCTTGTCTATAACGTTTGAATTTTGAACTGTCTGAAACTATTATCTATTCAGATATAAATATATAAACCCAAGATCCTAAATAACAGCAATGACAGCAGCTATGTAATTTAAAAAAAAAAAAGTGTCTTGGCAGGATGCATTCAGTGTACATCTTGGACTTGCAAACACAATGGGCTCCCCTGACATCTGCCCCCTCGCACCAGGGATCAACCTCCCTGGGGGATGGGACCTCAATTCCCAGGATCGCTCCCTGTGGGGACAGAACTCCAGGAATGCTCTCTGTACCCTCTCTTTCCCAGACAGGCCACTCTCCCTTGAAAAGGACCAACAGCTCCCACTGTGGAAGCAGGTGCCGAAGGTCAGAGTGCCCCTCCCCACCCCAACACCAGCACCACAAAGGTGGAACAAGGATTCCACCCTGGCAGCAGTGACAGCCGCCTCACTGCCGTCTGCCCCAGGGCCCCCACTGCGATCACGTGCCTGGCACAAGCCAGCACTGTTTTCTACTGCCCTGCTGCTGAGCCGGCAGGTTTTAGTAATTCCATCGATCAACCCTGAGCTTGGCAAGAGAAGAAATCTTTTTGCTATTCTAAAAGAGTTTTATCGTTTATGAAGTCAGAACCTTTTGGCTAAAAGAGAGCACCAGGATCCTTGTGGTAGACTCAGATGGTTCTAGAAACAGTGAAGGATTGGAGGGTGGCTGATGCCTTCATTTTTCCAGATGAGGCCACAGAGGCCAAACTGGACATAAGCCAAAGTCAGCCAGCCCTGGCCAATAAGAGCTGACGATCAGGAGTATGAAGATGTCTGCTTTCCACGACAGGGTACATGGTTCGATACCCACCTCTAGTTCCAGCTCCCACCCCAGCCTCCGGCTAACGTAGACCCTGAGAGGTAATGGTGGGTCACTGAAGAAGCTGGATTCCTGCTGTTCACATGGGAGGCCTGAGCTGGGTTCATGGTTTCCGGTGTTAGCCATGGCCATTGTGGCCGTTTGGGGAGTGAAACAGCAGCTGGGAGCTCTCTATCTCATTCTTTCTCTTTGCCTCTCAAATAAAGTAAAATGATTCGTTTTTTTTTAAGAGAGTATTGTTAAATACTTGGGATGTTGGCAAGCCACTTGAAAATGGTTATAATGGGAGTATCTATGGGATGGAAATTCCCAAATATTAAGACCAGGGCTTCTCTTCTTTTTCCCAAAGTCGATATATTAATCAGGCCTGGATACAATCCAGTTCTTTGAAGCTGGCCCTCCTGGGCTTCAGTCCTGGCTCTGCCATTCACTTCCTAAGCAGGTTGGGCTGGGGAGTCCTTTAGACCAGTGCTTTGTCTCTTCATCGGTGAACTGCTTGGGAGTTATTCCCAGAAGAGCACTTAGCACTTGGGCTGGCATATACAGAATCTTTCATCTGTGTTCACTATGGTTTTCATTCAGGTTCCAGAAATAGCCTTAAGATTTCAGATGATAGAACTGAATATCAGGGATGGGTATCTAACCTAGCAATTAAGAAACCCGTGTCCCTTATGGGAAGCCGTGGTTTGATTCCTGGGGTCCAATTCATGACTCGAGCTTTCTGCTCATGCAGGCCCTTGAGAGGCAGTGATGATGGCCCATGCAGTTGAGTTTTTGCCACCCATGTAGGAAACCTGCACAGAGCTGCTGGCTCCCAGCTTCAGCCCAGTCCTGATCACTGCAGACATCTGGAGAGTGAATCCGTGCCTGGGAGCTGTGTGTGCGTGTGTCTGTAAAAGAAATCATTTTTTTTTTAAACCTGGAAATTCTGAGAGCTGATGTGACTTTCCAAGGACATGCTTGGCAGGTGGCAGGATGAGGGCTGGAGCCCAGTTCTCTGGAGGCCCTTCCACCAGCCAAACAATAGCTTCTGGAGCCGCCTGATTCCTTTTTCACATGTTATCTTTCTTCTTTCATGCATCTACCTGTATATGCTTACTCTACTTCAAAGTAATAAAACTAGACTTTTTTTGCTTAAACTCATTACTCAAGACTTTTAATGATTCTCCTGTCTTTCCATTCCTTCAATTTGTTTAAAATCAGCTTTCTTGCAGTTTCAACTCGTAGGATTTTCTCTGTCCTCCCCCCATCTGTAGAGGATCCAAACTCGAGGCTCTTCCTGTAGAACCCAGGGACAGCTGCCACAGGTGCAAGGACGGGTCCAGCCCCACTCCTGCCCCTCACCTCTCTGTAAAGTTCTTACCACTTAAAGACAAGGTTGAGCCAGTCTCCGATCACAGCCACCCATAGGAGTTTGATGCCCACAGCTTCTCGCAGATGGAACCAGATGGGGAAGAGCACATAGAAGGCGTTCCTGAGGTCAGCAATAACGGACACCAAGATGAACCAGTCCTGGGAGTTCTGGTAATTCACCTGCAGGTAGCGCGTGGACTGGATTCCAAAGTCATGGAGAGCATCCATTCCCTCTTCCATCCCCCGTCCCTCGGCACCCCCAGGAAACAGCCCTTGCAGGTGCTCCGGGCTTGGTGGTGATTGCTCTGCTATCAGTCGGCGCCTTGCCCCTGTTTTATGCACCCTGTATTCCTCCGGCAAGTCAACCCAGCCCTGACCTTTGGACTCAAAAAGTACTTTTGTCTAAAATGTATTGATCAAAGGTGCATCACCAGTAGGTCGATGTGAACATGTTCAGGCTGATTTACGTAAAATAGAAAAACAGGCACACAAAAACAGCCTGATCAGCCATGCACACAGCACGGCCAATGATTAACTTTGGCACGCCGCTCTGCAGTGCAAGGGCTGCCGTCCGAGACCCTGAAACCGGGTCAGAGGCACAAGCCAGTCTAAATCCTGTGAAGTGTGTGTGATCACGTTGTACTTCATTGAGGACCACGAAGTTATGATGCTGCAGATACTGAAGCTTTGAAGTCACCCATCTTAAAATGGGGTCAATCTGATTGTCCTGGGAACTGTTGTCCACCTGGCTGGCCCTTTCTTAGCTGCATGGAGGGCCTGGGGTTTGCTCCTTAGAACAGCCCTTTCCCCAACAGTAGTTCAGAATCTCTTAGGGCCAGAAAGAATCATTTGTGAATGGATCAAGTAGCCTGAAAGTTGAGCACTTTGGGGGCTTTATCAAGTATGTTTAAGTAATAGAACAGGTGTCCATGTAGTATTAAGGAGATGTATATGGGCCTGGTGCAATAACCTAGTGGCTAAATCTTCACCTTGCATATGCTGGGATCCCATATGGGTGCCAGTTCATGTCCCGGCTGCTCCACTTCCCTTCTAGCTCCCTGTTTGTGGCCTGGAACAGCAACAGAGGACAACCCCAAAGCCTTGGAACCCTGCACCTGCATGGAGACCTGGAAGAAACTCCTGGTTCCTGGCTTCAGATCAGCTCAACTTTGGCTGTTTTGGCTACCTGGGGGAGTGAACCAGTTGACAGATCTTTCCCTCTATATCCCCCTTCTCTCTGTATATCTGCCTTCCCAATAGAAATAAATATATTTTGTAAAAGAGGGAGGGAGGGAAGGAAGGAGAGAGAGAGAATGCATGTGGTTTTAAACAAGAATGCCAGCAAAGCAACAACTTGGAACTTTGGAGAAACTGTTGGAAAATTTCAGTTATTTTTGAAGACGAGCTAGTGTTACCTGAGCTTTCAAATATATGTGACCCCTTCTCCCTGGTTCTAATTTTGATGTCCTTAGTTTGCACTGAGTTACCTAGGATTCAGTAGTGAGGAGGGGGAAAGTTACACACATTTTATTTTTAATTAATTAATAATTAATTTGTATTTAAAAGGCAGATTTACAGAGAGGTGGGGATACAGAGAGAAATAGCTTCGGTTTGCTGGTTCACTCCTCAAAATGGCCACAATGGCTGGAACTGAGCCAGTTCAAAGCCAGAAGCCAGGAACTTCCTCTGGGTTTCCCACACGGGTGCAGGGTCCCAAGGCTTTGGGCCGTCCTTAACTGTTTTCCCAGGCCACAAGCAGGGAGCTGGATGGGAAGTGGAACAGTCAGAAATTGAACTTGTGCCCATATGGGATTCTGGCACTTGTAAGATGAAGATTAGCTAATTGAGCTACTGCACGAGGCTCTAAAGGCACATTTTTCAAGGACAAGAGCCAGAGAGAGGAGAATAAAACTTTTAAGACTTGGCTTGCACTTCCTGCCAGTCAGTTCATAGTGACATGTAAGGGTTAGTTTGGGGACAAGGGAAAACCCAGAGCCCTTGAATCTGTTGTTAAGATTATTAGCATTCCATGCTGGAAATGATTAAAGCATTAGCCAGGAGACATGAGCCTCAGCCCTCCTCCCTGAGACGAGGCCTTCCTCTAGCTCAGGAGACCCCAGTTGTCCTTGGCCATGTTGTCCCTGTTGGCCCCAGCAGCCTTCTCCTGCCACACCCAGTCTGGACAGCAGGTGTTGGAAGTGGCTGCTGGGTTGCTGAGGTTGCCTATGATTGGTGGTATGGGAGGGCTAAGATATGTGTGTTCTGCAATGCCAGACCTGCCCAAGGCTGCCCCTTCCCTCTACATGGGAGATCTTCCTAGAAAGCATTGTGTAACTTCTGTGGTGCCCCCTGGGGGGCACCATGATCTAAGGTGAGACAAGGACAAACAAGGGAGATCCCTCTGATAAAACACTGGCTGTGCAGCTCTGCCCCAGGTTATCTGAGCTTGGCCTCAGCCTGGGGCAGGGTCCTGTTGTCGTGTGCTCTACTTACCTTCCCGAGAGCCTCATGGAGGACTCTGGTGTAGACAGAGTGGAAAGAGACGTGTGGTGGAGCTGATATCCCAGGCTGGACACACAGGGCCGGTGGAAGTGTCTCTGGCAGGCTGCCTCATCAAGCAGAGAAACTGTGGGTTATGGAATAGGACTGATTGTTAGACCCCAGTTGCTTCCTGCCTCCTCCTGCAACTTCTCATCATGTGCAGAAAGAGGAGAGACCCTAAAGGATCTGTGTCTCCCCAAAAGCCAACTGATGAGAGATGGCGTGTGCCCTCTAAGATCTTGTGGCACCTAGGGTGGTGGTTGCAGGTGAAGCATTTGCGTCACTGGAGGGCTTGCTAATTTATAGAACTGTCTCCAGGGAGCAGGTGGTTAGCCCCATGGAAAACATGCCCAAGTCTTACATGGGAGTGTTGAGATTCTGTTCCTTGCTCTGGGTCTTGATGCTAGCCTCTGCCCACACTGACCCAGATGGAGGTTCTTGCTCCTGGCTTCCGCATGGTCCACCCTCGCTATTGCAGGCATTTGGGAAGATTCATTGGAGGGGATTTCGCTCTCTTTTTCTGAAGTAAATAAGCCCAACCAACTCCTCTAACTCTTGTCATCTTCTTCTTTGGGAAGGTTTCCAGTTTAATTCAGCTGATCTCCTGGGCAGGTTGGCACCTGGCTTGCCAAGGAACTCCAAGTTATATGATCATTGTTCTCTGCTGGTACTGGGAAGTCAGATGGCACCACTGTTGAGCTGGGGTTGTGGGGAGTGTCCTTGTGTTGAAAGCTGGTCTCAGGTGGACAGATGCAGGCTCACGCTCTGGAAATGAACCGTGGGGTCTGGCAAGTGAAGCCCATGGAAGAGCCTTTGATCTCTTCTTGGTCATTTCCTTCACACCCAGAAGCTGTGGGCTTCTTTTTAAAATTTATTTTATTTTACTTATTTTTATTGGCAAGGCAGCTACAGAGAGAAAGATCTTCCATCCATTGGTTTACTCCCCAAATGGCCACAATAGCTTGAGCTAGCCCTGTGGAAAGCCAGGAACCAGGAACTTCTTCTGGGGCTCCCTGTGGGTACAGGGATCCAAGGGCTTGATCCATCTCTGCACTGCTTTCCCAGGCCATAAGCAGGGAGCCAGATTGGAGGGATATAAACCGCCGCTCATAAGGAATGCTGACACCATCAGCAGAGGTTTAGCCTGCCACACCATGGTGTTGACCCTGCAGGTTTCTTGTGTTAAGACTCACATGAAGGAGGCCCCAGGAAGTGCATGTCCACCTGCTGCTACATAACCGCAGCTGCGTGGGCACTGTGGCTCTGCGGGTTAACTTGTGCCATGAGAACTTGGCATCACACGTCAGAGCACCAACAAGCTCCCGCTGTTCTTTCCATCCAGCACCCTGACAGCTTGAGGACTTGGGCCCCCTGCCACCCACTTGAGAGACCCAGATGGAATTCTTGGCTCCTGGCTTAGATCTGGCCTCCTCACCCCAGCATGTGGATGCATCTGGGTAGTAAACCAGCAGATGGGAGATCTCTCTCACCCCTTCTCTCTTGGTCACTCTGCCTTTCACATAAATAAATAAAACTTACAGCAACAACTACAAAAAGTCACTATAGCTGCTTTCAGTGTCTTGGCGCCTTCCTGGCCTAGAACAAAACTGACGCATTGTGTCCAGCTGGTTCCTTTGCCAATAGGAAAGCAAGCAAGAGAAGCTGCCTACACTCTGTGGGTCATCCCCAACTGCACATCTTACCAATAGAAAATCTGATTTTCGCTACAGCTGAGTTCTGTGTTTTGGCTGGGCCTCGGTCCTTTTAGGAGAGAGGTCACTTCTACTTTCCTCAGTGGTCACCTGTCGAATGAGTTTTGTATGTACATTTAGCAGGGGCACAGATCTGCCTTACAGTCACAGCTTCCTATCTGAACAACAAAAAAGTCTCTTTAGGGACACATGCCTGTAGGATGTGTGGTTTGCTTGCTGGGTTGATTGATGATGTCTTTACCTCTTTGAGGTGTTTCCCCTTTACCAAGTGACCAACTGGGGAGATGGGTAGTGGTGGACAGTAGGAACTGGCCCATTCCATGGCTGTCATCTCCTGAATAAGCGACCCCGTTAGTCTGTTAGAAGAAGCGTGCTGGGGAAAACGGGTGTGGGGAGAGGTGGTTTAATTATTGCTAAAGCATGCAAATGGCTGACTTATCTCTGGCGCGGTGAGAAAGTTCAGTTTTAGGACCTTGAACTGGGCATCTGTTGACCAGGTGGGGGAAGCGTGGCTCTCAGGATGGGCTGGACATTTTGTCTGCGGAAAAATACACCCGGAGACGTTTGCTTCCGTGGCAAACAGCTCCCAGCACTGCTCCCCCTCCCGCTCTTCCTCCCGCCACTGCAGGGGCTGCCTGGTCCCGTAGCACCAGACACCAGGACCGTTAGGGGGACTCCAGCCTGCCCTTCTCCTCCCTGTCTGCCCTCTTCCTCATGCCACCTCCCTGAGAGCTGCTGCCCTGCCTGTCAGCAGACACCCTGCAGCCCGCCACCAGTCCCTAGTTGCACGGGGTTGGGTGGGGGGGAAGAGAAGAGGAGAAGGGGCGCCAGGCAGCCCTGGGCCGGGCCAAAGCCCTGCAGGCTTGCCTCCTTCCTGGCAGGAATTAAACAACTTTGGCAGTGGGACACTGCCCTGTAGTAGCCAGGAAGATTTCCCAAAAATAAAATGTGGTCCGGTGGTTTGAAAAGGTCTCATTTCCCTCCTTGTCCTGACCTGGACCCCGGGGGCAGCTGAGGTCCCTCCTGGTTTCAAAGCAATGACTCTTTG